AACTGTAAATGTAGCAAAGTTCTTTTGGGAATGATTCTTCCGTGAATACTATTGGGCGCAGAGCTTCGAAACGAGTGAAGGGATTATGTGTGCAAAGCTTCAAAATGATCCTAATTTGACTGTACATCGGGTGGAGTGGCAGCAACAGTTGTAGTGGTTATGAGGATCAATGAAATGAAAAGGGTTATGCTAATTTAGGCATTATGAGCTTTTGGAGGCCGGTGAGGATTTGGTGGAATATGAAGTATCTTTATATTCTTGTATTTTATGTTTAGTTACAAATACTATATGCAAATAAACCAGAATAATAATTTAATTGCAGAAGTGAAGTGCAATCTAACCTTCTTGACTTGTAGAGGAACCGTAATGAGACGTGCATTTATTGACACGACCCATCCCGAATCACCATAATGGACCCAACGCGTGTCGTGCCCCGATGGTAGATAGAGATGCTTTGACTGTGACATAACTTTATAAAAATTTTGACAAAATTCCCCTTGTAATATAGACTAAAACCACCTAAAATATAATCAATTACCTTAAATATGTACATATAAATTAAAACATGGTACACCAGTCCCTTAAAACTCAAACTATTCCAAATACAATACTGGTAAATCAACATTTACTATTATTTACCATCAAAGTCCCCAAATGTCCTCAAAATATCCAATATGCAGCGAGCTCATGATATGAATACACAAATTAACTTCTCTGATACAACATACATGTATCTCAAAAGAAATATGAGCTAAATAGACTAACAAAATAAGTTGTACAACTAATGACAATCCGTGGCTCAACTCGATGGATCGACAGTCTCCAATGCTGCTCAACTTAACTACTATCTGATAAGAAAAATGTGACAAAATATATGAGCTTGTAACTCAGTGAGTGGATAGTTCGTAAATATATATACTTTTTTCCATTTATACATATTTACTGAAAGATCTAATTTATTTTCTTATAGTTTTAAGAAATTCTAAATTCTGATAATTTCTTTTAGAACTAAATCATGATAAAATCATAAAATTCTTACTCCTTATCCTGGATAACCAACCATAAAATATGTTGAGTATAGCTAATCTAGTATCAACAAAAATCGGTGTAAAATTATCATTTCTATAAGTTAAAATCGTATTTCTGAAACTGAGTAAGCTGAATTCTATATTCTGGAATGAACTATTATCTGATATTCGAAAATTTGTGAATCTACAACTGAATAAACATAATGTGATATACTAAAGAATCACACCAATAAATACCCAATGTGTAATACCGAAACCAGGAAAGTTTAAAAGATTTGATAGGTATTACTCACACCAACAAGGCACACCTTCTTTTCCGAAAGTCCATCGTTNTTTGCGAAAGTCCATCGTTAGAAACTCTACCCTTAAGCGTGCTTGGCTTGGAGCCATTCTATGATAGGTGACCCCCTGGGAAGTTCTCTTGGGGAGGGTGTGAGTGAGGATAAAGTATGCTGAAAAGACCTATATTGGTACAGTGGGGACCACACGTCGTCGATCTAACGGTCGGGACAGCCCGTTAAGTGGGACCCGGGTCATTCCAAATGGTATCAGAGCCCGATTGCCAGCCGAAAATCGGGAACTAAGTACTATGCTGGATAAAGTACTACACCATAGGGCGGGAGCCACATCTTGAACCCGTATGAGCCACCTTAAGAATCCTAACACCTAGCAACGGATTCTCAGATGGATCAAGTGCGACGAGGACGTCGTGAGTCTAATGGAAGGTGATTGTAATACCCAGATTAGGAAAGCTTAAAAGATTTGATAGGTACTATTCATACCAACAAGGTGCACCTTCTTTTCCGAAAGTTCATCGTTAGAAACTCTACAGTTAAGGGTGCTTGGCTTGGAACAATTCTATGATAGGTGACCCGCTGGGAAGTTTTCTTAGGTAGCGTGCGAGTGAGGATAAAGCACGCTAAAAAGACCTATGTTGGTATAGTGGAGACAGCACGTCATTGATCTAACGGCCGAGACAGCTCGTTAAGTGGGACCCGAGTCGTTACAAAATCAATAGCCTTATTCATATACATAGTAATCTCGATGTACAAGGCAAAGCCATTCAAATCTGATAATCTGTATCATAACATCGTATAAAATCATAATACTGGTGCTAAATCATAAATTAGACTCAAGCTGATATCTAACAAATGATAATGACTGATACACCAAGATGAGTAAGTACATTAGTCAAATTCAGTAAGCTAAAACCATAATCTGAAATCAATAAGCTGAACTGTAAGCTAGAAAATGTTAGCTGAAATCTAATAATCCACTATATATTGGATAATCACATCAAAATATACCCCATGTAAT